CTACAGCCTTCCACAGATAAAACATTGTTTGAAAAGAATGCTGTACTGATTAGGGATCGGCTTAGAGTTATTGTTCACATTCTTGATAGCAGATCGAGGTGTGCCAAGCCTCTGGAGTTTTTCTAATACGAAAAGAGCCTTTGTCAATAACCCGAGAATGATTGAAATCAATGTGATGATTGAATGAGTTAACCACGTAGGTTTCGCAATGTTTGACCCATCAGCACATGTCTTTACCTTTCTAATGTGTTCTTTCCTGCGGGTTTCAAAGCAACGGGCGTTCACCTACATAACACAAGTCACAATTGGCACTGGGTATTTTATACACCACATTGGGCTGGTGTACAATAGATTGTCTGCATTTAGGAGAACGGAATTCTTGTTGCAAAGACTTGAAGGGCGAATATACAACTCGAATATCGTGCTTTCAAAGAATCCTTGTTAGCGGTTGCTTAACACTATTGATAAAAGGAAGCTATGACAGCATAACAGTTTGAGTTCTCAATCTCTTAAGGTTCCACTCATTGAAAAAACATGCTCTTTTTGTATTAGAAAAACTCTAGAGGCTAATTGGCACACCTCTGTTATCAAGAATGCAGACAATAACTCTAAGTCGATTCCTAATCAGTATATAGCATTCTTTTTAAACACCCTTTCCATGTTTTTAGTTTGTTCTTTTTATCACTTTTATCTCGTTTTTTTTTTGTATATATATTTCACCTATTTAGATTTCATGTTTTATCTGTGGAAGACTGTAGATCGACAGCCGAAAGTTTTTGTTTTTTTCAAAAATTCTTGGCCAGAGAACGTTTTCACTTTATTTAATATGTCTCATCCTGGCTGCACTTCAATTTTCAATCATGTGGGGTATTCATAGTATTATCTCTGCAAATACATGTTTTGATTTATTTACATTCATTTGTTTGCATACACACACATTTTTGTATTTCTGTTGTATTAAGAACCAGAGAGAGGACATATATGTTAATGTATTTGTGTGCTACATGGAGAGAATTTCTCAAAACTCAGTTTAAGGGATCATAAAGTTGATATAACTGCCTTTTATTATATACTGAGAAAGATTAACTGAATACATGCATTTACTGATCATTTTGTAAGACAATAAATCCATTTACCGGTAGTACAATTGGTTGTGTGGGATGCACATGCTCTGATTAAGTCATATCTTACTATGATCTCCTTGCATACGGTGATCATGGCAGGATTACTAAATTTCAAATGGCTGCTTTTATCCAATGTTTGTGAAGTGAGAAATGTGATGGAAGAAAATTCAAACGTGAAGAGCACACAGTTAACAGATGCTAAAAGATTGGCAAAACATTTTCCAAAAGAAAGATAGGAAGTTTCTGCTGGTGATTAAATAAACCAGTTAAAACTGAAGGATAGAAAGTCTGACAGAGGAAGTTTTGTAAGGCTGCTTCTACACAATTACCTTAAGTGATGGACTATTACTGTCAAGTTGAACTAAAAATTTTTTTTTCAGCGCGGTCAGTGGAGAGTGTGTTGGTTTTGGCTGAAAACCTAAAAAGAGGTGAGACATTATAACTAAACAAGTACCAGTAGTTTCCTCTCATTTCAATTCAACCAAACCTTTTTGTGAAATATTTCTGAACTTGCATAACTGCATATAATTTCTAGCTTAAAATACATTTGAACCCCCCTCCCCACCCCCGCCCTCTGAACACTCAGTTTGTATCAACACTATTTGTTTCTGGAACAAAGTGATATCATTTTACTCCTTGTCACCTGTATTTTGATCTGTGCTCTCGAACATGAAACATAATAGTGCAGTAAATAGTTTGAAGTCATGGCTACATGATTTGAACCCTTGTAGTCGGATCGTCAGGGTGAGTGTACAAAAACTGTAGTCCTGAGAAGGACTGTGTGCAAGACTCGAGTTGAATAAGTTGATCATGATAGGTCAGTTTCGATCCTCCAGAGGTGTGGTTCATTTGTAAAGTAAATGCGAGCAAATGGTTGGTATGGTGCTGGTATTAGCTAACACATGTTAAGGGGAGTCTTCTCAA